GCAAAGTGAAGAACATGAGCACCATCAGAGACTCAGATGTGGAAGAAAACTTTAAAGAGCAGCATCAAGAATAAGAGGTTCAGCATCAAGGGATGGAAGAGGAAGAACATGAGGACTATGATAGCCGCCCTTATGCATTTGACCCATTTGATGTGATCTGCATATCTGAAGCTTCAAAGGTTGCACATGAGCATATTATGCTTCTTCAGAGATGGAACCACTTCCAGGACAAAGCCATCAGACGGTCAAAGCAAGCAAGAAGTCGGTTGACTCATTGAAGAATAAGGTGAGGAAGCTCAAGAAGAAGTTGGGAGGATCTTCATCAGCCAAGAGATCTGATCAAGTGGTCCAAACAGAGTCACAAGGAGAAGGATCTGATGCTGAATACATGTCTGAGGACACACCAGAGAGGGCAGTCCAAGAGAGAAACTCATTCCACATGATGTATCATGGTTTTTATGGTTTTTGACCATGATATAAGTCCTTTTTATTGAGTCTTTTTGGTCTTTTTAGAGTCCTAGAAGAGTCTTTGCAGGTTATAGCATGTTTGGAGCATTATTGGAGATTTTGGAACCTTTTGGAGCATTCTGGGTTGAAGCCACGAAGTACCAAGCTCGAAGCAGAAAGTATCACATATGGTGACGCTCGTCACCAATCTGGCGATGCTCGTCACCAATCTGGTGACGCTCGTCACCCAGAAAGGAAGGGGTCGTGGCCTGTTTTTAAAAGATTGGAAAGAAATTGCAGTTTTGGCCCAGAAATTCCAGTTTTTGTAAAAAAGCCCCATATCGTGTGCAGTTTTAGCTTGTATATTAGGTTTTTCAGCCATTATTTTGCATATATCTTGTATCTTACTATTTTTGAGAGCTTTAGAAAGAGATTTGTAGCAGAGCTTTTGGAGAGACAAATCAGACTCCTTCAGAGCAGATTTTGAACTCCTTTACTTTCTACTTCTTATTTCTTTTATGCAATCTATTCTTTTCATGATGTTTTCTCAAATCACCATGTCTGAGTAGTTTGTTAGTTAAGTTAGGGCTTTTCAAAGGTTGAAGAAGAGTTTGTAGAATTGCTAAAAACTTTTAGAAAATTCATTGGTTCTTCATCTGTGCTTGCATTCATATCGATTTCTTAGACACATCATCTAGATTTCGAAACCCTAGGTTTTTGATATATGTGAGAGCATTATTAATCACCTGAACTAGTATTAGATGAGCAAAACGCCCTAGTACAAAGAGATTTGGCTTAGGAGTTTTGTGAACAATTGAACCTGATCATTACTGCATGTTTAGGTTGTTAGGGTTTGCAAAGAGATTTGAAACTCTGTGATTTAGACATAGATAACTTCTGCAATGAGAATTGATTAGTTATATCTTTGCGATTCATGTTCAAGACGGTTTTAATTCATTCCTGATTGCATGCATTCTACACTCTCGGATTCAACCTGCGAACTGTCCTGACTTAGCGTCTTTAGCCTTCTGAACTTTAAGAACAAGCATAAAAATGCCCTCTTGCATTTATTTTACTGTTTTGCATTACATTCATTATTTATCGCTTAGCTTAATCTGAATCTATAATCGCTAGTGTGGTTTACATACTCCCTTGGGATACGATAACCCCTTGTACGACAACTGCTTTTGCTGTGTACTTGCAGTAGTTTTATTTGGGTAAAAACTGACCCTATCAAGTTTTTGGCGCCGTTGCCGAGGAGTAATAGCTGCCTATCGATTTTTAGTATTAGGATTTTGTCTAAGTTTTTATTTGGTTACTGACTTTTAGTTTCTTTTCTCTGTGCCTGTTTCAGGTGTATGCCTAATCGCAGAACCAGAAGCAACAAAGAGAAGGAGCTTGTGACTTTGAGCATCGACGAGCTTGCTAGGTTGGAGAGAACTAACAGCAAAGCTAAGAAGCAATCTACAATGGTCGCTCCACTTATCTTGGTTGAAGATGCAGAAGGTCACTTAGTTGACAGGGAAGGAAATAGGAGGAACGAAGAGGGGCAGAGAATTGATCAAGAGGGGAATGTCATTGTTGAACAGCAGGTTCAGCAAGTGGCTGAGAACGTGGGATTCCCTGCTGCTGTCAATAACGCTGCTGGGCGTTTTGTTCAGAGGACTCTAGGTGACTACAACAGACCTGATCAGTTCTATGCCAACAGAGCTGCAATCCGACCTCCTGCCTTCCAGAGGAACGATTTTGAGGTTAAACCAGTCTACTATCAGCTGGTTGGCCAGCATCCATTACATGGCTTACCTCATGAGCACCCCATGGATCACATAGAGAGGTTTGAGGATTTAGCTTCCAGTGTCAAAGCTAATGGGGTTAGCAATGACTTTCTGTTCTGCAAGATTTTTCCCTACTCTCTTGAAGGAGAAGCTGCATATTGGCTGAAGCAACTGGAACCTGCTTCATTGACCACTTGGGAAGACACTAAGAACGCCTTTCTGAATAACTTCTATGATGATGCAAGGTCAGAGGACATGAGGACGAAAATTGCTTCCTTTACACAAGGCCCTACTGAAGCTTTTAAGGCTTCTTGGATCAGGTTTAAGTCCTATCAAAGGGACTGTCCTCATCATGGCTTTAGTCAGGTGCAATTACTTGGGATCTTCTTCAGAGGCATTGACTGGAAGTACCAGATGGCGCTGGATGCAGCAAGTGCAGGAAACTTCAACACCAACAGACCAGAAGAAGCTGTAAGATTGATTGAAAACTTGGCCTGCAGTAACAGCACTAAGAATGCAGATTTTCAGAGAAAGCAGCAGGCTGGTTTGAATGATGGAAACCAAATAGCTGAAGTTAAGGCTAAGTTGGACAGCATGCACAGCCTTTTGGTGGGAAAGAAGTCAGTTCAATTTGCTGCAGAAGTGGAGAGTTTCAAAAATCCTGAAGACATTGAGCAGAAAGATGTTAATTTCATCAATGGAGGTTTTCAGAACCAAAGGTTTGGAAATCAGCAGTGGAACAGAGGCTACAATGGCAACAATCAGAAGAACACATTCCCAGGAAACCAGAATGCTTTTGGTTATACTCCAATACCACAGTTCCAGAAGACTGAAGTTGAGAAACCTTACCAAAACAGCAGGAATTATGGTTCTTCTTCCTACCAAACTGCACCTCCACAAGACAATAAAATGGAAGCTATGCTGGAGCAGGTACTTGAAGGACAGCAGAAGATGACAGTGAACTTCAATGTCAAGCTAGATTCGCTGTATCAAGACCTGAATGGAAAAATTGAGAGTCTGAACTCTCACATGAAGAAGCTTGATGTGCAGGTTGCTCAAATTGCAGGAGCTGTTCAAAGGCAAGAGGGATTCCTTCCTGGAAGGACTGATATCAATCCCAAGCATCAGGTTAATGCCATCACAGTCAGGAATGAAAAGGAGCTTAAAACAGTGCAGAAAAAGAGGCTGAATGCAGAGCAGATCGTGCAACTGATGGAGTCTGAAGATGAAAAATTTTCTGTCTCAGAGGTGAGTGACGAGCATCACCAAGGAGGAGTGACGCTCGTCACCAACTTACAAGGATATCGGGGGTTGTCACAAGTGAGTGACGAGCGTCACCCACCTGGTGACGGTCGTCACCCACCCCAGAACGAAGCTGCTTCGTCTGTAACTGCAAATTATGACCAGGAACGTGTCTATAAACCCAAAACACCATTCCCTAAGCATCCTAGGAAGTATAAACATGAGATAGAAGAAGCCAGATGCAAAGCTATGATAGACAAGCTGATGCTTGAGATCCCTCTTGTTGATGCAGTCAAGCTTTCACCAGCTCTAAGAAGGTATGTAAAGAGAATGGTTGTGAATGGTGTAAGTCCTGAGGAAGGAGCATTGCTTACCAGAGACATCAGTGCAATTCTCTTAGGCACAGTTCCAAAGAAGAAAAAGAAGGTGACTGTTTCTGAACAAGTCAATACCATCACTCAAAGCAGAGTTCCAGAGAAGCTATCTGATCCAGGGACCTTTGTGCTTGATTGCTCAATATCTGCAGGACGTTTTCCACACTCTCTATGTGATCTAGGGTCAAGTATTAACTTGATGCCTTTCTCTGTTGCTGCTAGACTTGGAATGACTGATTTCAAGCCAGCTGGGATCTCTCTCATCCTAGCAGATTGATCCATAAGGACCCCAGAAGGCATGTTAGAGAATGTTCATGTTAACATTGAAGGCTGCATAATTCCTACAGATTTTGTGGTTCTGAAATATGCTGAAGAACCTAAAGATCCTCTTATTCTGGGAAGACCATTCTTGGCTACTGCTGGAGCCATCATTGATGTTAGAAGGGAGAACATTGAGCTTGATCTTGGTGATGCTGTCATGAACTTTGACATGGATAAGTTAAGAAAGAGTTCTACCATTGATGGTCAGACCTTTTCTGTAAGAACTTCCAGAGATGAAGAGACTGTCATAGAGCATTCAGAAAGCATTATTGCTGAGTGTGTCAATGAATCAGATATTAGTGGGCAAATGAGCAAGATGACTGTTAAAGAGCCAATATCTGAAACTTCTGCAGAAGCTGTTGGGTTTGAGGATTGCAGTGAGGATCATATCTTCATGACTGGGCTTGAAAAAGAGGTTCTAATGAATGCCAAGTTGCTGGAGGAAGACGTGTATGTGATGGAATCAACACTTGCAGAGCTGAATTGCAGGAAAACTGCAGAAACTCGAACTGCAGAGTCAGTGACGACCGTCACTGACCTGGTGACGCTCGTCACCAACCTGAACACAAAGCAGCAACGTGATTTTACAGCTACAAGTCCATCATATGTTGCCAATCCGAAAATTCACCATTCCACAACCCAGAAACCTGCAACTAAGCAAAGGTATGCACTTCCTTGAACCAGTTCCAAACCTCCTAATCTCATCAATAAGAATTTAAAAGGTGAAAAAGCTGCTTCACAGCGAGGATCTCCACTCCTGGTGCTGTTACATCCGGCTGCAATTCGTCCACCATTGTTTATTAGACCACGAAAAAAAAAAAAAATCAAGAGCTTATAAATGTTATACCTTTAGAAGATCAACTGCAATGGTGTTTGGACCGCGAGAAGAGAAGGGAGCAACTTTAGGAGCTTTCTTATCAAAGATTGCCTCAGTTTTTAGAACAGTGCCTTGTGGGGATCTGAGCAAACAAACACATAGAAGGATAAATCTAGAGCAAATGTAAAAATGTGAAGAGTATAAAAGAGAGAAAAGACCGTTTGTTACTTTGTGGAGTTAACGTAAGAGACGAGAGAGTCAAAGTCATCTGGTGATAGAGCAGACATGGGCCGAGGGGTAACAGTGGATGCATAGCCTTTATAGTCTCTACTTATGGATGCAACAGCTACTTCCGAACTAAATCTGGAAACCAAGATCTTTCCCTTCAATAGAGAATCTTTAGAAGATTCTTCATACACAAGAGGATACATCTTCCCTTTCAGATCAAAAGCATTTATTGATTTCCCCTGTTAAGGCAAAGACAACAGGTAGTTTAGAGGAAATAAGATTTAAAAAAAATGGATTATGACGAGGTTTTGGGACAAATCCCGTAATCATATAGTTCCTAAGTCATAGCATGTAATATTTGTTTTTGTCTCAAGTCACTCAATCATGTGACTTCGAAGCTTTGGTGATACTTACAACTAAGGTCTTGCTGTTTCCAAGAACAACTTTGGTGATAAACGCACCGTTTGTGGTGCTGGCTGCAACGGTTAAGACCCATGGTGCTACGCTCAAAACTGTGGCTGCTACAGGACCGCTGTTACCGGCTGATTGCACAGTGAGGATCCCTTTAGCCATAGCGTGAAAAGCCCCGATCGCAATCGTATCCTCTTCGTATATAGAGGGCTTGTCTCCTCCGAGGGAGACGCTGATGAGGTCAACACCGTCTGCTATTGCGTCATCGAAAGCAGACAGTACAGCTTCCGAGGTACATCCGTCCTCGGTGCATACTTTATAAGCAGCGATTCTAGAGACTGGAACGCCTCCTCTTACTGTTCCATTGCCGATTCCAAAGAAGCTTGTGCTTGGGACTGCGTTTCCAGCCGCAGTGGACGCTGTGTGTGTACCGTGGCTACCACTGTCCCTAGTTCCTTCCTTTGTGTAGTCTCTTGCACCAATCAACTTGCTGATCCATTGTAAAACAAATCAATCTCTTCGTAACACAAATACTAATCTTTAAAACGAGAAATTAATCTGAGAGGAATTACTTGTTGCATGTGAAGTTTCTGCCACCAGAACAAACACCTTTCCATTTCTTAGGAGGAGGACCAAAGCCTTCGCCGAAGAAGCTCTCCGATTCCGGCCAAATCCCACTGTCGATGACCCCGATAATAGTATCACTTTCCACGGTCGGGTTCCTCTTCGTCTTTATTCCTTCCTTTAACCCCATGAAGTCCCAAGACGCAGTCGTTTGGAGTTTTAAGTTCTTACTCAGGAACACAGACACAACTCCCTCCATTTCTGAGCAGAACATATTATGGTTTTGATTATGGAAGATAGAATCATTTCAACATAAAAGTTTCTCGATCGAAGAACATTCACCTACTACTCGTTCTCTTTCTGACTCAGTGAGTCGGGCAGCAAACCCGTTGAAACTCCTCTTGTAACTTCTCACCAAACGACCTTCGATCGAACTATACATATGTATATCACTTGTTAAAATTCTGATAACATTAACTAATAATAACTAATCAGTGACTATAGAATGAATGAATTAAACCATACCTTTCTCCAGTGACTTCTTGAAGAACATTTATGTGATTCGACAATGGTGTGTACCCCGGTCGAGAGGGAAGTGAACCCATGTAGACAACATACACCTTCGTTGATTATTGTCATCATCAATTCATCAGGTGTGATAAAACGTATTAGGGAGAAACAAAATATTCATTATTATATATAGATTAACATACTTGTTTATCTCGAGGATCATCTGTGACTGCCGAGACTGGACTCAATAGCAAGATAGAGACACATGAGAGGAGAAAAAAGTAAGCTGCTCGTTTGGCCATCTTTTTCTGATAAAATGAATTCAGGTTTACTGTAATTTCACAATTTCTGTGAAGATATGTACAAATAGTAGAATCCGAATCCACGCCTAAACCAAGTCAAGAAACATATCCTAATATAAAATTCCTTTGATTCTGTTTCTTATTATAAAAAAAGTATTACAATCTCTATATTTTAATGATATTTGCCAAATGGTTAGTATATATATCTGGATAAAATGGTATAATAGTGTTTACATTTTAAGGAAACATATCTTGTCATTTTAGTTATTTTTTTGTTTCTTTTTGATACAGAGAAAGAGTATCAATTACTAATCACATGATATCTCAATTTCTATGATTTACTACATAACCCCAATGATTTCTCACAACATCAATGTTGTTATATTCTCTTGTAATTAACTACAATTTTGTTTGAACGTCTTTTTTTGTTGTTGGATGAACTGTTTATATATGTGTGTGTTTTGTACACTGGAATAGACATCACGAAAGTCAGCTTTCCGAATCGAAATTGAAAGTTATGGAGGGGAGAATGCGCATATTTTTATATTAAATTAAGCCCATCGGAAGTAAGAATACAACTATTGGAAACCACCTCGCTTAAAGAAAAAAAGAAAAAGGTTTAGGATAAAGGAAACTTTCTAAATCTAAAGAAAAAAGATTTTCCTATTAAGAATGAAAAAAGAGTTCGATAAAACCAACCTCCTTTAAGCCACTTGTAACATTGCTTCTCGTAGTGACCCTCTTTACCACAAAATCCAGAAAATCTTCTTTCTCTCTGAATACTTCGACCTTGACCTATTATCTTTGTGCTTCCCATTACCTGACCTTTCACTTCTTGAGTCTGGCATGTCTCTTGTGTAGTGGCCTTCTCCACTAGACCTTGAATTTCCTGGATTCGTCTTCAACTTCTTTTCCTTAGACAATGCTGCAGTGACCACTTCTTCCAACATAATCAAGGTAAAGGATATGCAACAGCAATTAGTTATAGGTAATCGTGGTAATCGTGATAGGGAAACAGGTAGTCGTGGCTAATTGGTACAAACACATTGCTTATTCAATCTCATGTATATTATAAATTAATAAGTAGTATAAAAATAATTTTATATAATTATATAACTATGATAATTTACGTGACTCTTTTTTATATTTAAGAGTTTTTGAACTGATAGTATCTATTTGGAAGTGCAATTAGAAGAAAGATTGCTTGAATTTCTTTAGGAACATCAGTTCTCAAATGACTTAGCTGAGCAATCAATTTCAAGAAATTGTCCACACTCTCATCAATCGCACGATGATCTTGCATCCTGAAACTGTAGAGTTGTAGCTGCATGTGAACATGATTAGATATGGATATTGGCATGCAAAGCCTCTCCAACAGCGCCCATGCAGCTGCAGCCATCTCGCACCATTCAATTTTCCTTAGAACCTGATCTGCCACGCTAAGAAAGATCATGTGAAGTGCCATTTCACATGTTCTGCTCTTACTGGATCTAGTTCAATTTTCATATTTTTTTGGATCTTGTGACAGAACTGTGGATGTCGCTCCAGTGACTGCTAACAAAGGTGTGACTGTTGCTGGCATAGTTCTTATAGCCATCGTCTGAACAAGAGACCCCCTTTAAGTGGAGCTCCCTGTGATATCGACGAGAACATCCTTCAATCCCGATATGCTCAGATGAGCATACATCCTTCGCCTCCACATTGAAAAATCAGCATTGTCATCAAAATTCTTGATTTTGGTAGAGGTCAACATCTGGAATCAATCTTCTTCAATTGCCCTCTCGCGATTCGCCTAATCCTAACCTGAGGCTCTGATACCACTTTGTACGAACTATATCTCGATCTATGACTTTCGATCTAGCTCGATTCAACTCTGATGGATTCAAGAAGAATAGAATGAGAATAAACAAGAAAAAGTACATAGCAATTTAACTAGTTCTGAGCTATTGCAGCACCCTACGTCTCGCAGGAGATCTACTCCGAAATCCATTAAGAACCAGTTTGTTGCGATATCAATCCAAGTCCCACATCGTAAGATTAGAAAGTAATGGTCTAATATATAAGTAATATTCAACTCTGATTAGTATGAAGCCTTTTGGGAGGAGTCCAACGACAAATCCGTTCAGGCTTTACCACTTGAGCTCAAAGCGGTCAATATGATAAGGGAGTTGGACATGGGCTTTCAAGCCCAACAATTGGAATCATAGCCAAGGTTCAGAAAAAAGTGAACCTCGGAAAGTGGGTTGGGCTGCTTGTTCATTGTGGGAGGAGAGCCCTCAAGGTGACCTTACGATAAAAGGTGTCGGTGATTTATGTCGAAAGACTTCCTAATGGTGCTCCTAGGGTTAGGTGAAGAATTTTGTTGGTACATACGGCGGTACAAGATGGGTGCCAGTTTCGTGAAAAGTTGGAGGCAAAGGACTTATATGGCCTTGGTTTAAGGGAGGATTGTTGAGATATCAATCATCAGAATATTAGACAATAATGGTCTATTATATAAGTAATGTTCATCTCTGATTAGTATAAGACCTTTTGGGAGGAGTTCAAAGATAAATTCGTGCAAGCTTTGCCACTTAGACCTAAAGCAAACAATATCATACTAATAAGGGAGTTGGACATGAATTTGAGAAGAGCAACACAACTTAAAACCGAGCTTTCTCTCTCCTATTCTCTGTTACAACAACTTTCTCTCTCAATAACCTCTGTTACCCATTATCCACAACGGATTTTGGATCTTACTTTTTGGAGATGTTATGTTTATTCATCTTTAATTTTGTTCAAAATGCAGAAAGCTACACAAGTAAAAGATGTAATCAGAATAATTTTTAATAAATTATTTGCGAAATTAATATTTTATATTATTCTATTATATAACTAATTATATATTATTATTTTTCTTTAACTAACTAATTATATTTTATTGTTTAAATAAATACAAACAAACTGTTATATACTACAAAATTTTATTTAGTAATAACATTATAACTATTATTTAAATTTTGCAATATCTTTAGATTTTTATATATTTTTATTTTCAAAAATAAATTAAAAATGATTACAAAAAATAAAATCTTTTCTAATTATATTAAATTATATTATTTTATTATAATTAATTTAATAATTAATATTTTAATAGTTATAATATTAAATAATATATAAAATATTTTTAAATAATAATATTTTATCATTTTGCCATTTTACATAATTTATTTAATTGTTTAAAAAAATATATTACGTAATTTTATAATAAATCATTCATTCAAAAAAAATTATAATAAATCATTCACAGCTTTTTTTTTCTACCATTCTGCAGTTTTTTATTCAGAACCAAAGTGTTTTTATATGCTCAGATAGTTTTAATAATAGCTGTTCTCAGAAGACAAATTAACATGGGATTATATTCTGGTTCTTTATCTATGACTGATACTAGGATACTACGGTGTTTATCTAAACAGAGCTTACATCGAGGAAGAATCCTTTTGGAAACAAAAAAGCAGAATTAGCTGGTTAAAAGAAGGCGATCGTAATACGAGAATTTTTCACAACATCACAAAGGGCAAACAAATTCAAAATTAAATTCGTACGATCCAAGACTCTTCAGTGATTATTCAACGAGGACATCATAGCATCTCCAAAGTGGCTGAACTCTACTTCCAAGATTTATTCTCATCCTGTAGAATTGAATATAGAATTGACTTACCTCTCATTAACAATCACGTAAAGTATTTATACAATAGTTAAGTCGGCTAACTTAATACCCAAACCTAATAGAAATAGGAAACTACACTTATCTCCAATGGGAAAATATACATATTCCGAAGATTTAACAGATATCCTCAATACTCCCCGTCACGTTGGAACATGAAGATCCTGAACGCCTAACTTGGACAATAAGGACTGAAACTGAACTCGACTAAGAGCTTTTGTTAAGATGTCAGCCACTTGATCAGTCGTACTAACATGATGAGTCGCAATAATGCCATCCTGAACTGCATGACAGTTATTCTCAATGTGTTTGGTACGTTCATGGAAGACTGGATTAGCAGCAATGTGTATGGCAGCTTTACTGTCGCAAAACAAGCGTGTAAGCACCTTTTATTCAACACCCAATCCTTTAAGAAGACTATAAAGCCACTTAATTTCACGCAATGCAGCATTCATAGCGCGATACTCTGCTTCAGCGGATGAATGTGATACAATATCCTGTTTCTTGGTCTTCCAAGAGATTGGCGACCCACCAAGCAATACCACAAAAGCACTGAGGGATTGGCATGTCAAAGGGCAGGAAGCCCAATCGGAATCACAGTAGACTATCAATGTTAAATCTTTGTCTGACTCCAGCAAAATACCTTGACCCGGGGAACCCTTTAAGAAATGAACTACTCGAAGGGCGGAGTCCCAATGAGTCTCACGCGGCGTTTTCATAAATTGAGACAACAAGTGGACAGAATAACTCAATTCTGGACGCGTATGAAGCAAATAAATCAGACGACCCACCAATCGACGATATTGAGTAGGATCTGGAAGGAAGGGACTTGTAACGGTAGCAAGCTGTTGTTTCTGCTCAAGAGGAGTTGGAGATGGTTTCGATCCAAGATTGCCAGTATCGGCAATGATGTCTAACGAATACTTGCATTGAGATAAGAAGAATCCTTGGGGTCCTCGGCTTACTTCAATACCAATGAAGTACTTTAGCTTGCCTAAATCTTTCATAGAGAAACACTTGCTCAAGTAATCTTTAAATTTTTGAATCATATACCCATCATTGCCAGAGATGAGTAGATCGTCGACATAAATCAATACTCGCAGCTCAATACCCTTATGTGTGTAGAAGAAGAGAGAATAATCATCATAAGTTTGAGTAAAGCCAAACTTAAGCAATGCATCCGACAACTTCTTAAACCAACATCGAGGGGCCTGTTTAAGATCATATAAAGACTTACGAAGGCAACAGACCTTATTAGGATGAGTGTGATGGAAGCCAGGGGAAGCTTCATATA